GTATATATTTGTTAAACATGCCTGTATATTCATCATTAACCTTTTTAATATTTTGTACAGATGCATTGATTAAATATTTTATTCCAAAAACTGACCATGACTGGTGTTTAGAGACGGCGCTTCTGTCCCTGTTACCAGCTGTTCCAGTCCAGTCGTCCACCTCTGCAGTGACAACAGCACGTAGCTTTTGGGCACTAGGAATGGCTGCTGTGGAACAGGGCCAGCAGCACGGTGGCCTGGGCCTTCTGGCCTGGATGCTGAGCACTTCGAAACACCAGTGTGTCAGGTGTGGGTTTGGGAGGGGAAGCCCCAGCACGGAGCTACTGCCCACTGGCTCTCTGATGCTGTGAAAGGGCCCAGGGCACTACACAGGAAGATAAAAAATCAAGTCTAGGTGTGTGTGTGGGGCGGGGGGGAGGCCAAAATGCAGTGGCAAAATCTTGTCTTTGGGAAGTGAGCATTACAGTGTAAAGAGGTAGCGTTCATCGCAGACCCAGTAGGAAGAGGCTGTTATGTGCACTTACGTGGGTGCTGTAGGACCTGATGGCTACACCAAGTGTGGCCTTCCCCCGGGCCCCCACGGTGTGAAGTTTAACCTGCTAAGTCTTACAGTAAATTTGATGGGCCACTTCTGAGACAGGACCAAGACCCCCACACTTGTGATACCCCCTAGGAGGCTCAGCAGCTCTCCCAGGGTGGACAGCATAGACCCAAGCCCGCAGTGCCCCTCCTGGCCCCTCCTGGCCCCGGCTCACACCCCAAGCTCCCAGCAGGTGAAGAAGGGAACTGCCCAGTGGGACGCCTTTCTCCTTGAGCACTTCTGAAAGAGGCTGAGGGACAGATGTAGCTGTGGAATGCTGGCAGGGACCTGCCCTCACTAAGGATGGAGCAGGGGACGCTGAGCCCAGTGTTCCTGGAGAGTGTTAACAGAAGTCCCCACAGCCTGGTGGGTTTCTTTCTGTTCTTTAATCTCATTACTGCTAGATGGATGTTTTATTGGAAGAAAAATTGTGTTCCCCTTTGAACGAAGTCCAATAAACACATAAGCTGTGTGACCCTCCCTGGGGTTGTGCGAAGTCTCGTTACAATCCGCAGCCTGTGCCTGGCCCGGCCCAGCACTCTGGGGCTGGCAACCTCCGTGCTGAGTAGAGAAAGGACAGGAAACTCAGCAGCAGCAGGAGCAGCATCTAACACTTTATCCAATTTTTCAAACATTGGTGAGATCGAGTCTCAGAGGCTTACAGTGACTGATGCCAAGAAGCGTCTCTGAGCAGCGACGACTTGTCCACTGCCTCCCCAGCCCCACAAGGTCCTTTGTTTCCTCATCTTCATTCAGGCTGAGATAAAGATGCCTCCAGCCTCTGCCAGTGAGGGCAGCGCCTGGCGTGGTCTGTGGGTTTATGGTGCCCGTGTCCCCAGGCCTGCATTCTTTTCTCTGGAAGGAACAGCAATCTGGGGAGAGACTTGTCCCCTGGGAGTGTCACCAGTGCTCAGCCGACGACTCTGGGGTTGTGGGCGTCTCTAATCACATGCAGGTGCACAGGCCTTCAGCAGTGGCCACTAGGAGAGAGCCCAGATGTTCTGCAGAGCTGGAGCTGGGTGGATTTGCAGAGGCGGAATTCGGGTTACTCTGAGAGGGAGGGAGACCTTGCAGGTGCACCCGCACCCCGTAGCTGTGAAGGACACGCAGTCATGGGGTCACATTCCCATCCCAGGGAAGAGGAATTTTCCCATAGACTTACCCAGCTAGGAAATCCGTCCCAGTGCGAGGTCAGCCCAGGCCCCTTTGCCAGAGTGTGTGAGGAATATAACACAAAATGCAAACACTGTACTATCTTAGGTATTGTTGCTAGAATTCCCGTTTGGAGAACTGCAGTTAGTACTCAACAAATACAAGTTACACGAATAGAAGTTGCTAATACCCAGCTCTCAGAGGTTTTCTAATCATAGAAGAATGGAAGTAGGAGTTGCAGACACTGGGTGAGGTGAACGGCCAAAAGGTACAGTGGCCTTGCCCTTCTGCTGTTCCCTGGTGTCAGGAAGCGCACAGATGATGCCCTTGAATGTCTGATGCAGTACACTATGCTCTGCTGGGAAAACACGTAAGGGACAGAACAGCAGGTGTCCACACTCACTTCCACACATGTGACCAGTATAAAGACGAGGACCCAAAAGGCGATTCCCTGACAGTCTGACCGACTTGAGAATCTGTATTTCTTGAGAGATTGCCTACACGTAATGTATAGGATATTCCTGTGGCAGGCCCTGTTCCTGAGCCGCGTGAGTTCCAAGGTGAGGGTTTGACGCGACTCCATCTTTGGGGAACTCCTTCTGAGGGGCAGGAAGGAGACCAGCAAAGGTGTATCCCTGGTCAGGACTGCGACTTCATGGGGCTGGCAGGAGCTTCTGGGGGAGGAGCACTGCAGCAGTTTGGGCCAGCCTCGGGGTAGGGAAGAGCAGAGGCATCATCGCAGCTGGAGCAGCCGGTGGGCCTGCAATTCAAGAGCTCAGCACACTCGCAGCAGGGCTGGTGAGAAGACACTGGGTCTGAGTGAAGCACAGGAGACCCAGAAGTGTGCGAAGGAGCTGGCCTGCGGCTGCAGCCACAGCACAAAGCCCAGTGCCCAGATGAAGTTCCTGCCTCTGAGAGCTGGTGTTGCAGCTCTCACGCTGTTAACTTACTTGTTAACCAATCATCCGCTCTTCCCGGCCTGTCAGCCAGGACCCCACTGCCCTTCCTGGGACTTCTCAAACTCCACTTGTGTTAGGGTTGCCTGCTGTGGCCTCCGGGAGGCAGCATGACGCAAGGAAAAGGAGATAAAGCCAGCGCTCTGGAGCAGGAGTCCCTCTGTCACCTGCCAGCTGCAGGATCCCGAATGCAGCGTACCCCTTTGCACCTCAGGGGCACAGTTGGAGCCTCCCCAGAGCAGGAGGCACTGTGACAGTGCAGGTGACTCTCACCTGAACTTCTGTTCCTCTATTTTAAACCCATCCAAGTTCCACCTTTTCTGGCCCTGGCTATGCTAAGACCCAGAGCCATTCTGGGCATCACATTTAGTGATACCATTCTTGCTCTGGAGATGCCCTTGACCTGTGGGAGTGGCCACAGCCATGTCCTCCAGCTCCCTTCTTGGGCCAGTGTGACCATGTACACCTGGGTATGGAGCACAGGCAGGGGGAATCACAGTGCCCTTGGAAAGTGACCAGGACACCACACAAGCTTTGGTCCTCACCACCTGGTCAGGAGGGCCTGGCCCCAAGACCCAGAGACAGATTGGTTCCCAGAGGACACACAGCTGCTGCCCCTGCTCTTTCCTCGTTTCTCCTCGTAGGGAAGGAGCAACCCAAGTCTGTCCCTGCCTTTTCTGCCTGTAAAAGGAAGCAGGAGCAAGGATGTCTCGTGCTCAGAGTTGCTTTGCTTCCTGCATCATTGCTGAGTAAGTGTGAAAGCACCAGGCTGTGTGGGAGGCCGAATGGCTGGAGGCCAGGAAGCCAGGCCAGGCGAGTGAGCATGTGTCACCCACCGCACCCTGCGAATGCATCAGAAATGCTGCAACTGTAGGAATCAAGTTACAGGCTGGGTGAAAGGATGCCAGCTGGTGTGGAGGCCACATCTCACTCACTGGGAGAGGTGAACGGAAAAACGAGCTTGGTGTCCCTCCCTGAAGGTACCGTCTTCTAGAACAAACCTAAGGACACACATGCAGTGGCAGAGTGTCATCACTGAAAACTCTCAAAGGTCTGCCATCACTGTTACAAAGCATCACCACAATGTCACACGTGTGACCTTGGTGTTCCCCATTAAAAACGAAACAAAACAAAATCTTTCCTTCAGAAACCTAATGTACAAATCCCGGTTTTACGGTTGTAGGTTTGGGGGCCTGTGAGGTGTGGTCTTATGTAGCATCACAAATCTAATCAACTGCAGATCTGGGATATGAATCGGGTGTCAATTTACTGTCTAGAAGAAATTTACTTTCTGGAAAAGAAACAATGAGAAGCAGATGCAGGAGAAGGTGGGGTTTTGTGTTTGTTTGTTTTGTAATAACTATTTGTATAACTTCCAAAACTATCTCACAATTTCAAGAACTTTCCAAGTATGAAGAACATTATTTCCCTTGAACCACTGGAGAGTAAATTAACAGGATCCCCCCAACACCCCTTTCCCTACTCGGTCAGAAAATCAACACTGGGATTTCACGCCCAGCTAGGCTTCAGGCTCCCCAAGTCATGTACACTGTCCCAGTAATTTATTTTACAATAAGAACATCCACTTCAGACGTAGCTATTGTGTCATGTGGTCATATTTCTGGACTGTTCTGCTATCGTTTAATGTGTGATGAGGGAAAGCCGTGTCTTTAGAGGTCTCTGGCTCTCAGTCCGAGTGCAGAAGTGGACGGTGAGAGGACCCTGCAGTGTAGGACCCCAGGCCATGCTGGGGACCTTCTGGGGCGTCTCGTGTGCCCCGGAGCAGGTGATGACAAGTGTGGGCTCAGTCCAGGGCTCCACCTGCCACTGTCTGCTCAGCACCGGCTGCTTCCATAAGTTACATCTCTGACAAAGACCACCGGTGGTGGCCGCACTGCTCCTGGAAAATGGATCTTATTCACGGCTTATCGACATTTGTCTTTTGTGTATTCCTAATGAAAGCAAATGAACTGAAGTCTCCCGAAATCTACTTCTTTCCCCATTAAAAGGAGCAACAGGAAAGCAGCCTCTCCTTTTAAACAGAGAGACGTCGCCTTGAACCTAACTGCTCGGCTTGCACCCTCTCCCCAAGACCCAGTAGTACACACAGATAAGGCCACACACAAACCTAAGTGCCAGTCATTTATTTTGAAAATTTGCTTGGTGTTTAGACAATAAACAGGAACTAAGCTAGTTATTATCATTTTCAAACTCTAAAACACAAAGCTCCCATGTGTGGGTTTTTTAAATACAGAGGAATGTTGTAAAATAACATCTAAAAACCCAGCTGTGGATGTCACTCTTTCTTCCAGGAGGTCCGATTTACAGGACTGGTTTCTGTGCCTTGATTTCGTGCTGGTGAAACCTCCTTGCGAGCACCCAGAGCGTAGTCCGGCCGCAGCTGTGAGCCCTCCAGAAGGCCTTGCCACGCGGACACCGGCAGGACCACGTGGGCCCTGTGTGCACGGCCATGTCTCGCGGTCCCTTTCCTCATCTGGAGCTCAGCTGTTCACCTCTGAGAAGCCATCTGCTTTGATGCTGGAGCCAGGCCAAAGGACAGTACGTCAGAGGTGTCTTCCGTCACCACCCCGTCTCTAGGGGACGGTGATCCCACGGGGCTCTCACTAGAACATGGAATGCTTTGATGCGTGCTCCACCGTCACTGCAGCCAGCGGGGTGGACTGTCCCCTAAGACTTCATGATGGCGTCAGTTCCCGGAACATAGAGCTGTTCAGCCCACTGCAGCCAGAGCCTGTGCTGCTCCTCACGGGGCCTCGGGGTCTAGAGAAGGCAGAGTCACATGATCTGAGGGCTCTCTTTGGTTCACTGACAAAATAATTTCTTTCCAATAAGTAAAGTTAAGGCAAACGGAGAGAGAGAAAAAGAATACCTATATTTATATTATACCTGGCAACTTAAAACGCTTTTCCATAAATTATTAGGAAACTTTCAGAAGAGTCATGAAGTAGCTAAGAACATTACCATCATCAATCGCATGGGTGTCCTGTGCACATTCGATCTGGGGCAACCTGGTGCTTCTCACTCTGGCTCTGGAGGAGGGACCTCGGGAGCCCAATGCCGCAGGCTACAGTCTGTGGAGAGCCTGCTGCTGCCACGTGGCGGGGGGCAGCGACAAACCTTTGCAGCTTTTTCCCTGTGAGTTGGCGAGTGTTGTCTGGAGAACTCTGATTTTGGATCTAATGCAGGTAGGTCACAAGTCACACGGATGGCCTCGGCCAATCCTCGCAGTGTCAGTCCAGAATGATTTTGACCTTTCATCCTTAAAGGACACCAGGTCCTCCCTTCTTGCTGATGGGACACGAGTGGTCCTCCTCAGTATCCCACGTGCCTCACGCTCATGGATCTCCTTTCCACTGTTGAGTATTTCCTCATCCCCGCCGGGGGAGCTTGCTCCATCCACAGTATAACTCAGTTGAGGTCTCTGGGGTTTTCTTTTTTTTTTTTTGTCATTTTCGTTTTTATCGGTACCGGGGACCGAACTCACGACTGCCTGCTTGCAAGGCAGGTGCTTATGCCGCTGAGCTAAATCCCCAGCCCCATCTCTGGGGTTTTCTTTCGTCTGCAAGGCTCCTGCCCACTAAAGCACAGCCTGGTGGCCCTAGATGTCTTGTGCAGAGAAGTCCTCATCAGATCACAAATGTGATTACTCTCCACTCTCATTTCAGCCTTACTGGGGCAGCTGGTAGTTTTTAAGCCAAGAGGTTATAATTTTTTTTTTTCCTTTTCTAAGTCCAAGCATCAAAACCGAACAGTTCCCTGCTCGGCTCAGTCCACCTACTGACACAGGTGCTGGCGGTGCGAGCTCTTTTCCTTCATCAGCATCTTTATTTTAGACAGGTTCTCCTTTACCCAGGTGGCAATCATGTCAGCTATGTCGTGGCTAAAACGGAGGATAAAGGCATGAGGTATGTTTTTGTTACAGAGTCGAATGTCTCCTTCTGGAAAGCTTTTCTTCATGTCTTCATAGTACTCTGTCGGGCACCAAGGGTCTACAGTTCCGTAGTAAAAGGTAATCTGAAAGACAAGGCAGGATGTCCATTAGGAAACACTTCTCCAAACAGAGACAACACCGGTGGCCACAGTTCCCTGCAGGCAGCACCCATCTCTGGCCCATTTGCCTGTCTGAGGCTCAGAAGATCACATCACAGCTGCACTGGAAGGACCGGACTGCAGTAAAGCCATGTGGAGGCCCCTGTGGAGCAAATCTTGGGCAAGTCACACGTGCTGGGAGGAGGGGCAGGTGAGAATGAGGAGGGTTAATAAGGCATAGAACGGTGACCGTGTAGTACATGTACCAGTTTTCCTACAGCTGATGCATCTGTCGAATGAATGCTAAGATAAATAGGTTACACCCAGGCTTTTCAGTGTAGTTGATGAAATGTGATGCAGTATTCCAAGAGTTAAGACAATGCTTCACACACCAGGAGGGCATGCTGAGTTCAGTGGGAGGTGCTGTGATCATACCTCTGGTGACAACAGGAAGGCCAATGGAGACACAGTGTTCTCTGGCACAATGTTAAGACCTTCATCTTCCTACACCTGTTATTTGATGCATACATAGAAATATTGTATATATATGATCTAGCTATGGTTATATATTTGATGTGTCATGTACATATAGTTCTAGGCTGTTGTTCTGAGCTGAAACATTTCTGTGCTATAGTTCTGTGTTTTTCTGAAAAGGCAACAAAAGTGACAGCTTATACTTAGAAGAGTAGACAGTGGTAATTCTTACAAAAAAATAAAGACTAAAGTTTAAGCATCCCATGACTTCTGTTATCACTGAAAAACAGTTAGGACTTGCTTCAGCCCTGGCTGGTCAGAAACGACTCCTGCAGTGTCCATCAGAGGCTAAGTCTGCCTTCTCACTCAGACCTTCCATCAGTCTGTTCAGGAGCATTTCTCCCATTTTAGGAAGCTGGGAAACATGGCAGGGCTCTCTTGGGGTAGGAGATGGGATCCGCTACTCAAGGCCACCCAGAGCGATGAGGGGAGCAGGGCAGGGATGACCTCTCAGGGGGAATGGGGCCTGAGTCTTCGAGCTGGGGAGCCCCTGAGGAGAGCAGGCCAAGGGACATCACCTGCAGGAAAGAGCGCGGTGAGGGTGGACAGCATGGCAGGGGAGGCTGGCCGTGACTGCCTTCCATGCACTGAGGATGGGCATCATCGTCTCAGTCCACTGAGCTAATGGAAGACAGCACGTCCCACAGTGGAGCGATGCCTTCAGGTCTCTGTGTTAGGGAAAGGACTCGGTCCAGCAGGGCAGCCTATCGGGGTCAGGTGGTGGGAGGAAGGTTTGGGGTGGGTGTTAACCGCTCTCTGGACAGTTTCACCGCATCAGTCGTTAAATCCATGATGTGCATATGGACAGGTGACGCTGCGCTTATGAAAACACTGGCCTTTACTGTACCAACATTGCAGCTTAACCAGTATTTACAGAGGCAGCTAAAAATACGTGTTCTTTTTTTGAGAGACAAGGTCTCAGTATGCTCAAGGCTGACCTTGAACTTGTGATTTTCCGGCCTCAGCTGCCCCGAGAGCTGGGATTGCAGGTGCATGCCACCATGCCAATGCAAACCTTCAAAGAGAAACACAAGGTAGTCTGCCAGAGCGAAGCACTGACAGTCGTGCCCTGAGTGGCTGACTGCATTCTGAATACCACTTTTCCTCTGACTGCTCTAAAGCAGCATGTTCTGCTGTGACCTCACCAGCACAGCTGGCCACTTCAGCCCATAATGGACACAGGTTATTTCCCAGGACCTGTCAGCGACTACTCTGCTGTAGCGTCCCTTTAAAAACCTGCTTTCAGTACAAGCCACCTGCAAGTATTAATATTAATTAACTAGCAGTAGGGTTAATAACCTTAGGCTGTCCCTGAACCACTTCCTACACTTAACCCCCAGGAAATCTGTTAAACTGCACTCAGGAAGTATCATGTGCAGCCGTCACTATGCACAGTTCTCCAGTATTTCCCCAGAGCATGAAGCGGTGTTGAAATCTAGAAACCTGGCTTGGGAGTTGTGCCCATTAGGTCTGTTCCTCTGCTCTAGTGCTCCTGTCCAAAGATACCCGACTCGGACGAAGCCCCGCTGGGACCCTTCTGCCCACACGTGCTATAGTGCAGAGTCTCAGGGAAGTGTAATATGGAAGCATCAGCCAGGGGAAAGTGAGGCAGGAGAGACCTCACCCTGCAGTCTCCCCGAAGTCTCCTTGACCAGCCCGTCACTGTTCACTGTGCTGCGCCCTCCACCTGACATGTGAGGAACCTAATACGTCCTTTTCCCTGAGGCGATTATAAAGTGAAATGTCTCCAATCAGAAGCCAGCACGGTGAGCCTTCGGCAGCAGAAAAGTCACCTCCTTCTCATGCATGAGGACTCAGGCAGGCAGCTGGACCCACCTCAGTGGGAAGGGACCAATCACAGTGGCCGGGGCTGTGCTAGGAACCTCAAGAGACAGCAGTGTTAGTCTTCAAGACATCATGAACAGCGAGGATTCCACGTCTCCCTGAGGTTCATCTGAGTGTATTTCCCGGTTCTGTGTGGCTGATAATTTAAAGTAAGTCTTTCGACAATTTTGTTTTGCTTGATTTTTCAGGCTGTATTCACTGAAGGCCTCTCTATGAAAACCTTGGCTTATAGTGAAACACGTGATTATCTAACCCATTTCTGAACACTGGCTTGAAATATTTCCTGTTCTGTATAGACTATAAATCACAGGTAACAGATCTGACTAGAGAACTCTGCACCTGAAAAACCCTGAGCAGGAAAATGAGAAAGTACGGTGCGTGGCCAGTGCATAGGCAGGGATGGGAATGGGGGAGGCCGGGTGAGGCGGACAGCGAGAGAAGCGGCTGGAAGCAAGCGCCGAGGCGGAGAGCACACTGTACTACAGGCCGGGAGACCTGCGCTGCAGCGCGACATCGGGACCGAGGATGGCCGCAGGGCTCCACGCGGGGCGCTCTGCCCATCATCTCCGCGCATGCTGGCAGCAGTATGCCGGAGGCTGGCATCTGAGCACCGTTTTACAAAAAGGAAAACTGTGGCGTGGTGAAAGTGACGTGCTAAGTTCACGCAATGAGTGGGCAGGAAGCTGGGCGATGACCCCAGGGACAACGTTCCAGACAGGTACTGTCTGCTGCCCTACCTATGGCTCACCGTGAACTGGCCCATGTTATGAAGACCACAGATCTGCAGACCAGGAGTCTTACAGTGGATGTGCGAACTGACAGAGTGTGAGTCTTGTCAACTTGTGCAAACCCCAGTGCCTCTATCTAGAGCTTTCTCTGTAGTGCGAGCAGTTCTGCATGGGGATGGGGCATCACCAGGGTAGCCGCTGCTGTGAAAATTCTGGAACTGTAACTAAGAATCTCAGGATAGTAGTAGGGTATCTACATTCAAAAGCTCAGAAAAAAATAAATTATTTTCAATTTTTTTTTTTTTTTGTACTGGGGATTGCACTCACGACTATGCACTTGCAAGGCAGGCATTTATGCCGCTGAGCTAAATCCCCAGCCCTTTTTTTTTTTTATTTTTAAAGACAAGGTCTCACTATGCAATTCAGGCTGGCCTTGAACTCACTGCCACCCTCTGCCTCAGCCTCTTGAGTGCTAGGATTACAGGTCTGCACCACCATACCCAGCCTGATGGGTCACTAATAAAGAATTTATTACCAATAGAACAAAAAAAGTTAGAAACCATGGTAATGATCTAACACCTAATAAAAACTATTTCAAATGACATATCAACACTTAAAAATAATACTAACAATGAAGAAGCCACACATACAATTATACAATTACTTCTCTCTACTCAATAGGCCAGTAGGACATAGAAATAGGAAATCCAGTAAAACAGAGTTTCACTATTTAAGAATAGTCGGGGGGCTGGGGATTTAGCTCAGCACCATAAGTGCCTGACTTGTGTGTGTGCAGTCATGAGTTAGATCCCTGGTATGGATAAAAACGAAAAAGACAAAAAAAAAAAAAAAAAAGTATGTGTGTGTGTGTGTGTGTGTATTCTTTTGTTAACCCTATGGATGAGTTGAGTTTTGTAAGTTTCTTAGACTGCAACTCACCACATAGTGAAGTTTGGTATACAATGAACTTCATTTTATGCAGTCTTTGGGCACCCTACTCATGATCTAGTGTGGACCTAACTGGAGCAGTAGATGGCACTTTGGGAGGGCAGCAAGCTCAGAGCAAAAGGGTCTCTTCTAACGTTTTTATAATAATTTTACTTTCGTTATGGCAGGGTGATTCCTGAAACCTCTGGCTCATTACATAGGACAGCAAGGAGCCCACTGCAGGGCTCACAGCATGAGGTCTGGGCACTGATCGTACCCACCAGCACTGGGACCCCAGACCAGCTGCTCAGCCTCTGTGCGGCTGGGATGGCTGCTCTGTGCTACTGTCGAGATTAGAGAATAAGGCACAGTGAGTGCCCCAAGCGCACAGGGGCACCTTTGTGGGGGCTGCGTGACAGACAAGGACACAGGCACCCCCAGACAGAGCGCTGGTGTGGAGGGCACAGCGCCTGCCGAGTCTTCCCCACAGTGGGCGTCATGCCCAGGTCAGAGGGAAAAAAATCCCCATGGCCTCAATTAGCTTTTGAGAAATATATTTTCTCCTGATAAACTGCTTTTGTACTAGCAGTTTGTAAAATCTAAAGCAAAACTACTTTATTAAATATGTATCATTCATTAACCAAAAAAATACATTTCTCAGAAACTGTCATGCAAAGAGTCTAATGGTAGGTAGGTCACCAAGCTAATGAACAGTGAAGCACATCCCCTCTCCTCAAGCCATCGCTGGCACTCCTCTGAGGGTGGACTGCCCAGATCCCCCTTTAAAATGCAACCTACCTATCCTTGTAAGTGGGCGTGGCTGCCTCCGTACCCTCAATCAGATACTGCACTGCCCCAGTGAAGGATGGCACCTGCCGCTGAGGCCTGTTGTGCCTTCTCCCCTTCTCCCTCCCCAGCTGTGCTCACAGCTGTGGCAGCTGCGAACTGCTCACCTGGGCTGCGCAGGCCCTGCACAAATAGCTGAGCTCCTGAGCTACGGACCATGTGCTGCTGGAAGGGCGTCTTGGGCTGCTATGCTGACACAGGCAGACAGCAGGCAGAGGCTGGCACGAGTAGCCGAGGGCATGATGCAGGTGCCCAGGAGGAGCTCTGTTTCCTTCCCTGACCTTGAGAGGTCGAGGAAAAGGGTGCCTTTCCTCCCTCTCCACTTTTTGCTCCCTTCTCTGGAGTAACTCCAACCAGACAAGGTGGTTTTTGTTTGTCTGTTTGCTTGTGAAAGCAGCAAAAGGTCTGATACAAAACAGCCTGTCGCACTCCTAGGGATCAGTCAGCACCCCACACGTGGACCTCTGTGTCAGCCAGCTCCCCATCACTGCAGTCAATCTGCACGGGTTCAGGGGCTTCACTCCATGGCTGCCTGGCCTTGCTGCTTGGGCTTGTGACAGGCAGCAGGCATGGCAGGGAGTGTGTGGAGGAGGCAGCTGCTCACCACACAGTGGACAGAATGTAAAAGGAGAGACAGAAAGGGCTGGGGTTCCCCTTCCCGTTTGTGGGCACAGCTTCAGCTACAGGCCCAGTCTCCTAAAGGTCCACCCCGACAGTCCCAAGATGTGACCACGCCTGTCCCACACCTTTGAGAGACACTCTAGGGCCAAGCTAAGGCACTCTCCTAGCTCCCAGCTAGGCTTTCCAGCCTGCCTTTGTTTCCCTGTTTTCATCTCCTTCCAGCCGTCTACGGTTCAGGGTACAGACTCTTCGGGTCCCCAGCTGTCTCCGTCTTGAGGGCAATGCAGAACAGGCTGGATGACAGCACCAGGTTTCCCCATCTCGCCTCCTGCCAGGGTCCGGGACACTTGGGCCTTGACCCTGTCCTGTTGAAGGTGAGCTGTTCTGTATTCGCGCATTTCCATTCAGTGACTCAAAAGTCTCACCCCTCTGGGGACACAGCAGCTACACCGCTTTATAATGTCACTATGGTCTTTCTGAGCAACTAAACTTACAGAAATGGAGATGTTTAGGAAACTAAATTTTCAATTTCTCTTGTTTCTTTTCTTGCCTTTATCTCCATCTGGCTTAATTACCATTCTTGAGAAAATGAGAATTACAATCTCCAAAGAAAATGGAGGTGAAGGCAGAACCCTCCTGCCCACAGGACCCTGTGCCTCCCTCGGCAGGCATCTGGGGGAGCGGCAGGCACAGAGGCGCCAGAGGGGCTCAGGCCACCCCACGGGGGGCCCTGCCTGGCCCACACCCTCTGGCGCCTGAGACTAAGCACACACAGCCCACAGAGCGGGGCTCTCCCCCTCCTCCCCCCTGAGGAGGCCCCAAAGCCGTCCAGCGATGGTCTCCTGGCCTTCTTACATGGCACTGTGCCGAGGAGCCCACTCATGGTAGCTACTCTTCTCTGCCAAGGAGTATGAGGTACTGGGAGCCAAGTTATCTATTGCATTTGTTCTGCCCTGATTATATGCATCAAGAAAGCGGCAGATACGCTGACACAGCTGTACTAAACTGAACCGGCCAAGCCCAACTCACTGCGCTGGTGCTGCCCCTGGGTTCTGGTAAAAGTTACATCCCACTGCGTTCTTGTTCATCTCGGTTCCATAAGACAGCTCCCTTGTGCCCCTTACAGGGCTTAGAGGCTGTGATGGAGACTCTTCCAGGTCTCCAGACATGGTATTACTAATGTCATCTGAGACAGGAGTGTGTATGAGGTGCCAGAGTCAGGCGAATCATCTTTTTAGAAAGCGCTCAAAGATACACCGAGGCTCTAACTTTGTAACGGCAATAACGAACATTCAGTGTTTGACACTCATATGCCACCCGAGGGTTATACTTCTGCAATGACCGCAGGAGAAGAGATACTAGCGTTAAGTGAGGCACAGTGAGGCCTAGTAACCTAAGGTCACACAACTAAGCAAGTGGCAGAGATAGAGCTGCGGGCGGAGGACTCTGCTCTCCAACACTTTTTAATCAGACTCCACTGAAGAACTCAAGGATATGTTAACACAATTGCCCAAGATGAAACTCTCAAGGTCAAAATGGTCGCAATAAAAACAAACCTGTCTGTTTCCAGGATGATCAGGGCAGCCCAGGTAGGCTTCCGGTTAAGCGGGCAGACCTAACGCGATCCATTTCAGACTGCGGCTTGATGGAAAAGAAGTCTGCTTAGCTGTCCACATGGCACTTCCTGTGCTCCAGAAAGCAGGATGTACGTGCTTCAGAGGGATTTGCAGGCACATTCTGCAAAGGGCGCATTGAGAGTTGTCCCAAGGGCAGCAAGCACCTCTGGCTAAGGCAGGCCCAGGAGGACTGGGGGAAACGCCCCTGTTTCTGAGGGCCCCGTGTCTCTTCTGGCCTGACCTGGGCTGGCGGATGTGGCTGCCCTCCTCTGACAGCGTACCTCACTTGTTCTCCTTGTGAACAGTTTCAGCCTCCTGCGGGCTGATAGTGCTGGCTTCAGCCTGGAGGCAGCACACACCAGCTGCTCCCATAGCCCTGAGCCAAAGACTGTCACGCGGTTTAGAATTTCCCTCCTAAGTGAGCTGTACATTAAAATTTCAAGTTCATAACCGAACACTGATTCATTTTTCTATGAGCAGACGCGCATCCCCTTAGTTTCATGCGATGGCAGGACAAGGCGTGCTGGCCTCCTGGCCGCCTCGTAGGAACAGCAGCCCCAGGCTCCTGTGCATGCGGGGCTGCAGCGGTGAAGATCATAGTCGACTCTTTCTTGCTCTGCTCTGCCCTGGTTCTCCTCCCACCCATTTCCCCTCGGTCTCCTCTTTTACCGGCTCTTTCCTTTCCAGGCCTTCGTCGGATTCTCCCGCGAGGAATCTTCAGATGTCCCTCCACGCTCCGGCTTCGTCGGCTGCCGTCACTCCAAATCCACACCAAGCCCCGGCTTCGCTTTCAAGCTTCTTCCCGCCCGCTCAGCTACTCCCAAACCCACAGCCACCCAGACACCCCACGGGTGTCCCGACACAAACTACTTTCTCTGAACTCCCCTCGGCTGAGCAACACCTCTCCTCCTTCTCTTCCCTTATCACCAAATCCCCATCCAGAGAAACGGCCTCCGATCCTCCATCTGGTTTCTCATATCCTGTTTGATTCCACCTCCTAAATCATTTCCTCTCCAGTCCCTTTCGTTCTTATAAAGGTCTTGTAAACGGTCTCCACACCTGAAACTTCACCGTTGCCCAATGTTCTAGCGCGCATCTCCCCGGAATAACTCCTCCCCTTGGTCAGTTTCACCGTGTTCTCATTCTCAGTGCTAGCAAGAGCGGCCCCTCGAGCTGGTGGGAGGTGGCAGGTGTTCCAGTTACACAGCAGCTAAGCCACGCTGCTGTCCAGCACAGGGAGCTCACCCTGGGTTGTAGCCTTTGTTTAAAACCCTTCCCTTGAACAGTTTAACTTCTTAGTGCAGTTTACCGTGGCTTGCTCTCGGGCCAGTGGCCAAGCTGCCACACCATGCTAGCTAACTTCTGTACATCTCTGTTTTTGTTAATCTTTTTTTTTTTTTTTAGACAAGGTCTCCCCATGTAGTGCAGGGTGGCCTTGAACTCGATAATACAGCCCAGGCTGGCCTCAAACTCACAGCTTCCTAGTGCTGGAATCACGACATCCACCACCACACTTGGCAGTTTGTGTTTATCTTTAACTGTAACTTAATGTTGTTACAATGTAGGCAACAACAAGCCTTATAATTAGCAGTGCTTATATTTTATCATCTAGGGAATTACGGATATTTTTGAATCATAGTAAACTTGTTATGAATAAAATTTAATCTCATTAAAATTTACACTCATCACTGTAAATTTACAATAATTCTGACCGTTACTCTTATTTAATGGGTTAATAAGGATGTACACATTACTGTATTATTAGTTTTAACAATGTTTACATAATTACATTTCAACATAATCAACTTCTTTTGTAATCTCATGTACTTATTTTATGCACTTAACATTTTTCTGAGAAGGTGTTTATATACTTTACAAGAGCCCGAGACCTGGCCCACCGCCGTCTGGAGTCCACACTCTGAAGCTTCCCCGTCAGTCTCTCCAGCCTCTCTCCACTGCACAGCTGCCAACTGTTAACCAGGTGGTGTGTGTGTGAAGTGCTGGGGTCTCAGGGAAGCCCGAGATGAAAATAACACAGTTCCTGACGTCACAGTGGAGAGGAGGGAGGGCTGACCATCTAACATGAGACAGAAGCAGTCCCGTAACTACACAGGCGGCGACGACAGCCCGGAGAAGGGGCACCTTCCAAAGCCAGGGCTGGCGAAGGCCTCTTGGAGACGCCTGGCACCAAGTGTTAAGGGTAAGCAGGACCAGGTCCGGTGAGGAAAGGTCAGAGCCTGCGACTCCAGAAACCACGGCACACCCTTTTGGAAACAATGTGAGTCTCATATGTTTTTTCCAAAAAAAAAGATGAACCACCCAGTACTGAAGTACTGCAAAGAAACACGACTGTCTGAGCAGGGTACAGAGACTCTAGGCACTGGAGAGAAGAAAACCAGCTTAGATTTTTCAGAATTGAAAAGGGCATTTTCCCTCAATAATATAAAAAATGTCTTTTCATGTGAACAGTGGCGATCCACGGGCAGAAACTTGGAATTCAGAACCAAAGCCTGCTGATTATGGTAAGCCGGTTTCCTAGTGGGGAGAAATAACAACAAGGCCTTTCCATGATATGTACAAAGTGGTTGTAGACCAGCTTTCCTGTGGGTCCTGAGCAGATGACACAAACATGCGTTTTTCAGAACTGCTTACACTGAATAACTGAGATGGGTGCAGTGACATTTGTAAGAATGAATGGTCCCCAGTTCTCCACTCGGGACACCCCTGAGGAGGGATGAGGGTTCTGAATGGCTTTGTCAGGGTGGAGATGGGACAGAGCAGCCGTGACCCGAGTGTCTAAATGGGGACACTGCTAATCTCAGGAATCGGCGTGCACATCTGACTAGCCGTCAGGGCTTCTGACAGCAGCAGGCGGTGCCCACACTCTTCCTAGAATTACGTGCCTTGCTAACCTTCCTTGTTTTCATAAGCTGACCGGGACATATTATTTTGATTCAACTTTATCAATATTAAATTACAGCATGTTTCCTCTTTTTATTATAGAAACAAAAAGTTGCAATAAACTTCCTGTCTCTCTGCAGTTAGTTTCACTCGGGAACTGGAGCTGTATTATTCGAGTGGGGATCCAAGTTAGGACTGGAAAGCATAATCAGTGCACTGCAAGGTACTGTGTACCATTAAACCCAATGGTGCCTTGTTTCTCCAACTCTACAAGTACATTTAATGCTCTTAGAAACAAAACTATTCCCAGAACTGGAAAAGTTGATTCCTGTGACTGTGTTAATATTAACCTTGAAATGCCTGCCATCTACCATTATACCCTGTATTTTGTCCATAAAAGTTTCAGTAAACTTAAAGCCCTGACACAGTTATTATGAACAGACCTCTATCTGGGAATGATTACACTTGCATATGGATTTAACTTAGCATAGGAATAAGTTAGCACCTTTCTTTGACCTCTTGCTGAGTACAACACACAAACAAAATCCAGAACTGATGAGTACTGTACAGCAGCTGGCTTCCCCAGGTGGCAACAGGGGCTCTAACAATGATGATCCGGTCATTCAGCAAGTGTGGGTTTTGGAAGCGAGCATCTGCCAGTCTTATTAACTGGGAGTTGAACTGTTTTTATGAACTTCCAACCTCAACAACTTAAATGCATTCTTGAAATAGACTCACACAATTTTATAAAAAATCAAACACTATTGTCTTGCATTTTCACACCCCTCAGTGTCTGGAAGTAGTTGAGAGTCCTTGAGAGGGTTCTGCAGAGCCCCACCTTCCCCGTTCAGTCTGAGGGAGCCTTCTTCTGGCTCAAACCTCTTCTCCACAGACAACTGCATTTAAGAAATATAATGACATCTGTGGCAGGAGACACACAACTGGCATTTTCCAAAGTCCTCCCTGGGGGAATATTGTCAACACTGTGTTCTGAAAATATTTTTAATGAAGTTATACATTTCTTGCTTTAAGAACCTGCTTTGGGAGATCACAGGAATAGAAGTTAAAACTGCAGATTAGTTTAAGCCCAATGACCCAAAGTGACGAAGATTCTAAACTCCAGGGAATCTAAGTGTGAGCGTGCAGACTGTGGGTTCTTGTGCCCTGTGAGAAGGCTGTGAGGCAGGGATCATTTTACCACACCTAGAAGCAGCCATCAGCTGCAAAGCTCCAGGTTAATGCTGTCTAACAGAAGGATGAAGCAAAGCACAAAACAATCTGAAAAATCTCCAGGAACAAAGCTAACCAAGTGTAAGGAACAAGTGGAATTATTTTAATAATACATTTTATTTAACTCACTACTACACTGTGTATCTACACTACTACCATTTCAAAATGCCATCCATATAAAAATACGAATGAAATAGTTCCCTTTTCAGGTCTAAGTTTTTAAAATTCATATGTTTTTTGCACTTACGACCCATCTCAGCTCAGCCCGTCCACAGTAACCAGGTGTGGTCACCATCATGTTAAACAGTGCAGAGTGGGGGTGCAGCACCTGTTTTGTATGTGGGAGGCCCTGGACTCCACCCTAGCCTCATAAACCAAACCAAAACACAGCATCTCTACCCTGCTCAGGAGGGATGGCCACCTAAATTCTACAATATTTAAACATGGCTTTCTAGTTTCAGAGATTCACACTTTCAAATGTATTTGTGCAAGAGTCCAGTATTTGCAGGTGTAACTCACAAGTTTCAGAAGCTATTCTTTGTGTCTGAACAAAATAGTTTAGTTGCAATTGATAGCAAATAACATAGGCCCACGAGTGATCAGGTCATGTGTAATAACAGTTATTTTTTACTGTTTTCTTTCGCTTTCAATATAACTTGTTTATTCTATAAATATTGAGTCTTCTCAGTACATTACATTGTCAAAATACAAAAGTGTCAATTTTAAAAATAAACTCAATGAAATAGCAAAATACATGTAACTGTATAATCAGCTTTGCTTACTCTATGCAACTTTCAAGGGTAACACTAATTTGAAGTGGTGGACAGTCTATACACCCATGAGCTCTAACAGGCTTTAATGACTTTCTGCCACCTGCTAATCTGCCTGCAGCCCTAAAGAGATTACCTTAGACAAGTGCTGCTTTATAATGTCGTCGTCTCTTTGCACCACCTTCCTCATTTCTTGGGCCCCCAGGTAGGCAGCATTAGCTACATGTAGAAAACAAAGAAGACAAACATTAGCTCACGATGATCTCAGGAACTCACATACCTCCCTTTGTGCCAGTGCTGTCTGATACAGGATGCCGGGAGGTCCGCAGATGCCCAGGAGCCATGTCACGCGCGTGGTCTCTGCAATGAGAGCGCGTCCTACAGGACCCTTCTGTCTGCCTCACTTGGCTTCCCCATAGCACACGCACCACACTGGACATTCTTCTGAGCGGCTTTTTTCCTGGTAATCTCCCTTCCAGGATGCACAGACCTTCTGCGCTGTCCTAGATTACAGGCAATTTACAGTTTCCCTCTGTTGCCTTCTTAGGTTTCTTTGCTGCTTTCTAAGTCACACTAATTAGTTCTTTTTGCATTTATTCATTCAGAGACAAGCTTACTGAGCACTGCAGGATTACGCTACAGCTTGCTCTAGGCAATGGACAGGATACAAAAACTACCTGTTATCACTGAACTTATGGTAAGAAAGTGCTAGCAGCTAGATTGTGCAGGAAAGTTTGGGGCCCTATTTTGTGTACCGTGCCCTGAAGACTTCTCTGCCTGAGGAAGCGGGGTGGGCCACGCAGACGCCAGGGACAGAGGGGGAACACCTGCAGCCTGAGGACTCAGGAAAGCCCTGTGCTGTGGAGGGTGAGGTGCGGAGCGGAAGTGGGGGGCGGGAGGCTGGCCCGGGATTCCTCTTCAGGGCTCTTCAGGGCTCGCACAGGTGCTATTTGCTGATCACATCACGATGCCTTAAGGAAAACTGTCCTAGAGCACTGTTTTCTGACTTCTCTGCACACATGAGAAAGGCTTCTTTAGGCTTCATACATGGACACTATTTGGCTAGCCAGAGAACTGCAATTTAAAAATAATTTTCTCTAAGAACCCAGAGGACACTGCTCTCCTTCACTGAAACACAGTACCCGTATTACTGAGGCAATCTGAGTCTCCTCCTCTGTGGGCTCTGTGTGTGTCAGCTCTGGAAGCTTTAAAGCCTGCTTGTTACTAATGATTTAGATTGTTATGATGGTGTGCCGTGACAGTCTTTCCCAGTTCACTTACTCCGCAGTTCTGGGAAAGCCCCCGACACTGCGGGACACAGCCTCCCCTTGCTTGCACTATTCTAAGTCGTTTGCTTTTATCTTTCTTCTAAAACTGAACTTTTTTGGGTCATTGTTTTACTTCTTGTTTGTTAACCTCAGTTTTGTCTTTTATCCTTGTAGTAAAGTCTGAAGTTTGATCAAAATTTTAAGATGTCTGGGGTCTGTTTTGGTCTCTGAATACGTCTCTGTCAAAGCTCCCTGTCTTGCGTTTATCAGCATGTTTTCTGACCTACGAGGATAACAGGCAGCTTTGAGGTTCTGCTCTTCTGGTTGCCTCCATTTATCTAAGTTCATTTGTTTCTTTACTTTCCTCAAATTCTTTAACATTGGAGGGCTTTTTTAAGCATCTGGTGAGCCTCAGGTGTTTATTCATTTTTACATGAAAAGCAATAAGAAGTTTTGCAGGAAAGTCAGTTTTCCCGATTGGCAGGCTCCACTGTAGAGTTATAGTGTCATCTTAAAAGGCCCTGATCTTCCAGAACATATGCAGGTCTCTCCTTTCGTTTTGGCTCTGCACACGTTTTATTTCCCTCTTTGCCTAGAGGTGAGCTGCCGTCTGGCAGGGAGGTGGGAAGGGTGACATTCTGTAAGTACTCCTGTTTGCAGAGGGGTTCTCAGTCTCATCCTTCTCATGCTTGGAACCTCGAATCTCAAGTACTTGGGTTCCTCAGGGGAGACAGATGCCACCAGTCCCAACCAGGGTAGTACAGAGAAGCTTCCGGCAATGATAAAGATGTTCCGTGCCCATCCTGTCCCCTACAGCTGCCATCAGCCACAACATGCTTACTGACCACATGAAATATGGCTCTTATGGCGGAGGAACTGAATTTTTAATGTAACTGTGAGTGATCTCAACCTGAACAGGAGCACGTGCCTGGCGGCACTGGACTAGACAGGCGGGTGCAGCACTGGAACTGTCTGCCCCACCCGCGCCCCACACTGGCCACCCTGCTCCAGAACTGCACCTAGAGTTCCTGTTGACCAAGGGCCTCTCTCATTTCCTCGTGACCCTCAAAGACTTCCTTTGATATCAGATACTAGAATGAAATAAAGGCAAGTATTTGTGATCCATTTAGCCCTTTCCAGAATAAAGTTTGCCTTTTTTTATAAATAACTTTTATTAACTTCTTCAATTTCACAACAATTCTAAAACATGGCTTCATCTTTATTAGTCTAACCAGTTTCTGTGTTCATACAGGGGCCCTTGCTATGTCCCAGGACTAAAGTGGACAAAAGATGATCCCTACTGCACAGGACTCACAGTCTACTAGTTTCAAGGTGCTTCATACCACGTACATATAACAAGCAACCTCTTCTATTCAAATATCTTAGTGGTAGTTGTTACATAATAGCCATTACATAAATAGTTGATATTTTTATCAATCACTTCTGATACCAGTATAAATGCAGATGGGGGTAAATATTCTCCTATATGTATTTTTTTTTACTTAATCTCCTAAATCAAGCCAGAATATTTGGTCAAAACTATACATTAAGCACGTGGAGCACAAGCCTCTATGTTGTGATTCCAGAGTTAGAGCTATCTTTCTTTTCCTGTGATATAAGTCCAGGCATTTATTATAACGAATTTAATTAAAGCAACAGGGACTTGGTTAATACATTATGGTCCATCCATTCAATTAAATCAACATATAACCTGCCAAAATTATACTGAGACTATAAAATGTCAACCACATACATAAGAATAATGTAATCACAAAACAATGCAATATGACCCCAATTATAAAAACAGAGGTGTGGTACAGATATATATATATATATATATATATATATATATATATATATATATATATAAAGATGAGTAAAATCATCAGCTCTGGTGGTTGGAACCCCAGGGATTTGCTGGTCCTCCCTTCTCTCCCCCCATTCCTTCCTTCCCGAGTGGTGATAGTGCTTCTTCTATTGTCCAATAACAATTCTCTATTTTCCTCAATGATCTATCACATTTTTCTTATTTCTTTTTTTTGGTACCAGGAATCAAACTCACAACCTTGTGCTTGCTAGGCAGGCACTTATGCCGCTGAGCTAAATCCCCAGCCCTCATTTTTCTTATTTCTATCATTTTATCTCCAAATCTCCGAACACACCCAGCGACTCATCCGTTCCCTCCCTCCCGGGTCCGGTGCTGGAACGCTGCTCTCCAGGGCTGCTGACAGCTGTCGCCTTGGACCTCCCGTCGCCACTGCTCTGGACCCCACTCCCTGTTTTATGGACTCCAGCCTGACTTCCTCTGTCTCGGTTTGCCCCCGTCACTGAAGCACATTTTCCAGTAAGTAATAATAAAAAGGTACACGACGTTAGACCTGATGAATGTGTACATTCTTAGTTTTCTTTTTTGACACGATTCCTACTTTGACAGCGCACAGGATTTTAAACTGAAAGTGGGAACCCTCCCAGTGGATGACCTTCCCGCGTCTAAGGCTAGTGCTCCCGTCCTAGTGTTCGGCATGTAACTACTTCCGACCCGTCAGGTGCCCGAACCCCCAGCCCTGGGACTCCTCCCACCCTCAGCTCAGCTCTGGGGTTCTGGCGTTCCTCAGGATGTGACCTAGAATACCGCCTGTAATTGGAGGGCAGCCCAATCTCGTTTCTGGAAGTTCTTCTTTTATTACATCTTTGATGATTTCCTGTTCTGTTTTCTCTGACTTTTGGAACTTCTGTGAGGTATCAGACCTCCTAGACTCATCCTTTAAGTTGTATTTTTCTGGAGTGCTTTTCTTTTTCTACTTACACACTTTCTAGAAGATTGCTTCAGGTTTGTCTTTTAGCTTTCTATGATATTTCTATTTTGCCTGTCAAGATCCGTTTGAGAACATTTTCTCATTCTCTTTCCTTTTTATATGACTCTATTCCTTGTGCTATGATGCTGTTTAGGATTCCTGAGAGTAGAGGGCTTCTGTTTTTAAGAGCTCACTCTCTTTCTTCCTGTTCATTGCATTACCGATTTCGCATGAGTCTTCCTCTTCTGGCCTGCATTTCTGATTTGGACTCTTAGCTGTTTTTGGGGGTACTGGAAATCGAACTTAGGGCCTCGTGCCTGCCAGGCAGGTGATGTGCTGCATGGCTGAGCCGCATCCCTGGCCGGACTCTTTCCTTAAGGAAATGTCTGATTTACTTGCATTATATGAAGCAATGTACTCTAAAAGTAACTCCTGCTGTCTTTACCTGTATTTGTTAGCTGTAAACTCATGCAGGACTTCTGTCCTACTGATTGGAAAGCTTTCACTTGTCAGGGAAAGGCCATCTTTTCCCACCTGGATAGGTTTTTGTTTTGTTTTTGACCAAGTGGGCTTCTGTATCCAACCAGTTCCCCTGAAAACATAAGAGCTACAAGATTCGGGAAGTTCGGTCACAGTCGTGTTTCCCTGGAGAACTGGGAAGCAGATGGCTTTCCGTGAGGACCTGCGACAGCGGGACAGAAGCTGGCCACCCTGATGCACATGAGGGTAGAGACAGCCCACTCAATGGGAAGCGGGTGCCACTGGTGGCCAGAGTGTATATTAAAACTTCTGCAAATCAGTAAGAAAAACTCACATGGTCCAACCTCAACTTATGGAATAGACTTGAGGAGCAATTTTAGAAGTTAGTCAAATTATGAAAAGGTTTTCAACCTGATGAAAGGTACTCAACCTCAGTTGTTATTATCATGGAAATGTAAATTTAAATATTTGGAGCTCATCCAATATGGTATGTGCTGGAGTACCAAATGAGATCACCGACAAATCAATGGTTATAAGAAACAGTCAGTTCTTTATGTGGTTCTTTTCCCTTTATGGAGGAAAAGCATTGTCCAAGTAAAAAGTTAAATTTTAAAATTTAAGAACAAACTATCTTAATAGACTAAAATATATTTAAACACACACACGCACACACACGCACACACAGTGCCACTATGCAACGACTAGACTGAATGAAATTTAAACAAACAAGGGCTGGGATTTAGCTCAGCAGCATAAGTGCCTGCCTTGCAAGTGCGTGATCGTGTATTCAATCCCTGATACTGATAAAACAAAAATTTTTTTTTCTAAAAACAAAACAAGACCCAACATGGTGGCACCCGAGACTGAGGCAGTAAGGCTGCAAGCTAAGCCCAGGCCGGGCAGCTCAGTGACGCAGCAAGACCCTGCCTCAAAACAAAGACTACAAAGAGAGCTCTGGATACAGCTCAGCGTGCAGGCTGCGGCCTTAACGGTGGGTACCACAGACGGTACCTAGTGTCCTCAGCAAATGGAGCAACACGAGCTCATGCACAAACCGATGGGGCAGTGCAAATCGGTGTAAACACGCGGGAAGCAATTTGGAACTATTCTGTGAGGCTGAACCTTATGTTTCCTCTTCTAGATAAAATCTCAGCAGAAATTCATGCACCAGTTCACTGAGAGGCACACATAAACATGTTCTTGACAGTATTAATTTTTTAGTTTTTAAAAATATTACTATGATTTTTAGTATTTTATTTGGCATTACTGGGATTGAGTCCAGGACATCATGCATACCAGGTAAGCACATTACCATTCAGCTTTGACAGTACTGATTTTAATGGTTCTAAATTGGAAACATGTCAAACATCATTAACAGTAGGATGAATATACTGAAGTACATCCAGCCTTGGCACAGTATTGAGCAGTCTGATACAGACAGCCGGCTGAGGCACACACACTGCAGGTTCGCCAGCATGGCCTTGAGTAACGCTGATGAACAGAATTAAAACTACGTGCAACAACACGGAAGAACACTGAGATGAAGAACCCAGACACAAAAGAACTACACCAGGCAATTCCAGCTTTATAAAGTTCAAAACCAGACAAAACTAAGTAACACTGCCCGGTGTCAATACTCAGTCACATGGGCGGATGGCACGGGGGCACTGGAGGGGCACAGGGAGGCTTCTGAGGCCCAGGCAGGGTGCCTTCTGAGTGGGGTGGCAGGGAAATTTCATGTGACAGTTCATGGGCATATACATTTATGCTTTAAGTATTTTTGGCATAATTAAATTAGGAAACATTTAAAAATTCAAATAGTTTTTAAGGAGTCTTACATTTCTAAGAATGAATTTTCATCAGGGTCCCATTCTACCTTTCTTACTTTTTTCCTGGTAATTTCATATATATGAAATGCTTAAAAAAAAAAAAACAACAGAATACTAGTTTCTTTTCCAGTAATTATTCTGAGGAAGTCACTGCTGTCATTCCTCAGAAATGCTCGAAATGTAACACAGTGGTCAGAAATAATAATACCAAACAGAAGTGTAATTTCCTAAGTGGAAAACACATTTCTCTTGGCAATGACTGTCAACAGCATTCCTGGAAACCATGCAGATTTGGATTTAAAGCTCCACAGTCAAGGAAATGTCTAGTACCAGGAGTAATGGAAACAAAAACATGAAAGAAACAGGCTGGTTTAGAAGAATGCTAATTGTTTATTTTTGCTTCATTAAAAATAAGATGCGGCGGGGGGCGGGGGGCCAAGAGTCTAACACTGTTTGCTGCCAACACCACTGAAATCAGTTTCCTGTCTGAATAGTACTGCGGGGCTTCAACTTACCGCAGAAGGGCTGAGAGGTCTGAAAGCGCGGAGTGAAGGAGTTAATGTGACAGTCCTCCAAGGGTACATAAGCTACAACAGAGGCGGTCTTCCATTCAGCCCTGTCACCCATCCTGACGCCATTTGGTCAGTCTGGAAAAGTCCTACGTCATCTTCAAGTCCAAGCTCATTTATCTTCTCCTCACTGCCCAGTTACACCTGACCTCTCCTCCCAAATACTACTCAGGCCCCGAATCTAGACTTGCAACAGTCCTCACTGGGATACATAAGTCTTCGTGCTCCTCACCTGGTGCACTATAAATAACGTGAAGGGCAGGAGCTACGTGTCACTCCGTATTTTCTCCCTTGACTGCTTGGTTTATAGCAGGTGTGCATGAGAAAGGGCTGCTAAGTGAAACCTGTGCTAAAGAACAAGGAAGGAGGTGCTTAGCCAGCACTGTTGGAGAGGTGGGAGGAAAAGCCAGCAATCCTGCTAAAAGCAGGCCAGGAGCTGAGATCAGATGGAGGCCGGAAGAGGAGCCTGAGCTGACACTGAAAAGCCAAGACGGCAGGTGCTGATACAAGAAATGGGATGACCTGCCACGCAGCCAGACGCGGGGTATGTGAGCACTAGCTCTCGCAGCCAGGGTTCACGTACAACTACACACAATTAATTGTCAAGGATTAAAGAAGATGCATGAATAGCTTTCTTTATAAAATTTTAAAAATTTTATGAGTAAAAATTTGTAAGTTAAGGTCCCCCTTGCTTATTTTTACTGTCTTCTGTTTGCCATGAACCAGTTGTCTTCTGCGATGCCCCTCTGCTAAACCACCCTGCCCTGGAGCCAGCTGATTATGGACTGAAACCTCCACAAACTGGGAGCTAAATAAAGCTTTCCTCCTTTAACTTTGGGTGTCAGGTATTTTGTCCCATGAGACAAGTAGCTAAATATGTAATATGTCTTTAATTCTTTCAGGAAGATACTGAGAAAGGGCATAGCTGGGCTGAATGGAATTTCTAGTTCTTTGAGTAATCTGCAACTGATTTCCATAGGGTGGGACTAGTTTACATTTACATCAACAATGTAGAAGTAAGTGTTCCTTTCCTCCCACAGTCTTGCCAACATTTCTTGTTTTTTGAGTTTATGATGATAGCCATTCTTCCTGGAGTGAAACAAACCTCAGTGTAGTTTAATTTGCTTTTCTCTAGTGGCCAGTGATGCTGAACATTTTTATTGGTTACCTGAATTTCTTCTGAGAAGTGCTATTCATTTCACTCATTGCTTATTTTTTTATTTGGTCTTTTATGGAAGGCATGTAATTTTTTTGAGCTCCTTAAACATTATAGGTGTATTAGTCCTTCATTTGAAGTATAGCTGGTAATTTTTTTTCCATTTGGTAGGTTGTCTCTTCACTCTGTTGGTTGTTGCTACTGCTGTGCAGATTTAATTTGCTAGGATCCCATTTGTTGATTGCTGATACTGTGTTTTGTTCCACTGGCGTTTTGTTCAGAAAGTCCTGTCTATGCCTGTATCTTCAAGAATTTTACCTATTTTATCTTTCAGCAGATTAAGTGTTTCTGCATTCATATTCAGACCTTTGATCTGTTCTGATTTTAGTTTAGTATATGTTGAAAGACATGGGTCTAGAGTCAATCTTCTGCATATGGAAAGCCAGTTTTCCTGCCATCATTTTTTAAATAAGCTCTCTTTCTTCCAGTGAGTGACTGTTTTGGGGGCCTTTGTTAACAATCAAACAGCTAAATCTATCCACCAAATACTGTAATGCACATTTTATTAAGATCGATTTTTTCCTTGTAAACATCGTGGTTTATTTTAGACATGCAGAATCTATCATCCTTTTTAAAGAAGCTCACTAGAAGTAAAATATCACTCAGAATAGACCAAAGCACTAATCATCCCTGTACTGCACATACTCACATGGTTTCCTGCCTCCACAGTGCACCTATCCAAATTAAATTGTGCCCCTCTCCACTAATTAATTCCCTTTGCTTTGGCACTATTTCTTTTCCTTGATATGATGGCAAAATTAAACAAACTAGGGCATTCTATTGTGAAATTTTACTGCTGCTACTAGATCCCACACGGCAACACAGGAGCACAACTTAGCTTCCCATCTGCAGGTGTACCTTCAGAAAGCTAGTGTTATAGGACTTTATTCAACCTGATAAAAGCCACTTATGACCACGCTACTGTCAAGATCTCATTAAGTGGGGAAAAGCTGACAGCTTTCCCTCCAAAATCAGGAACAATATAAGAATGTCCACCACCACTCTTGTTCAATACAGTCCTGGAAACAGCCAGAGCAATCAGGAATAAAAGAGATGTATACAGGAAAGAAAGAAATCAAATTATCATGATTTCCAGATAACATGATCCTTTACACAGAAGACTTACAAAAATTCCACCAAAAAATCCTACAAATAATAATCAAATTCAGCAGTATACTAGGATAGAAAAATCACACAAAAATCGATAGCATTCCTGTACACCAATAATGAACTCACTAAGACAGAAACTAGGAAAATAATGCCATTCACAATAGCATCAAGAAAATATTATTTAGGGATCATTCTAAACAAGGAAATAAAGATCTCTACAACACAAACTACAGAACTCTGAAAAAAATTAGAAAATTGAAAATCATTCCTCATTCTCGGAGAGGCAGAATCAATACTGTCATACATACATACATACAGATTTAATGCAATACCAACCAAAATACCAGTTATCACAGAACTGGAGAAAATAATCCTAAAATTCATATGGAACCAGAAGAAAAACAGAATAGTAAAAGCAATCCCGGGTAAGAAGAACAAAGCAGGAGGCATCACAGTCTCAGATTTCAAATTATATTGCGAAGCTACGGTGGTAAAAACAGCCTTGCACTGGTACAAAAAAACAGATATGTAGATCAATGGACAGAACAGAGAACTCAAAAAGCAACCCAAGACATGTTCAGCCATTTGATCTTTCACAAAGTGATCAAAATATATGCTGGAGGAAAGATAGATAATCTGGTAAATATAGACCCATTAAAATCAAAATGGATCAAAGGTCTAAGTATTCAAACAGAAACATTTAATCTAATGGAAGATAAAAATCAGTAGAAGTACTTTATGCAAGGTCTCACTCTGTGAGTCAGGCTGGCCTTGAAACTCACTAGCCCGGGCTGGTCTCTAACCCTCTGTATCAACCTCCTGAATGCTGGGATTAAAGGCATTCACCACCAAGCTCAAGTTTAAAACAGATAAAGCTCTTGATGTCACAGATACAGCAACAGAACCCAACTGCACAAGAAATAATATTCAGAATCAACAAATGGGATCACCTCAAATTTAAAAAGTTCTGCACAGTAAAAAAGCGATAAGACAACCTATGGAATGGAAAAATATTTTGCAGCTATATCTCAGATGAAGGACTAATATCTATAATGTATAAAGAACTCACAAAAAATTAGAGCACCCTCCATTAAAAAATTAATCAAACAATGGGCAGCTGAAACAAACAGATACTTCTCAGATGAAATACAAGTGACAAATCAATACATGGAAAAATGTTCAGCATCACTCACCATTAGAGAAATACAAATTAAAACCACTCCAGGAAGAATGGCTATCATCACCAACTCAAAAAGCAAAAAATATCGGAAAGGCTAGGGGAAAAAAGGAAGCCTTCCACACTGCTGTTGGGAATGTAAACTACTGTCACCACTATGGAAATCAGTATGGAGACTGCTAAAAAAATCCTAGAGATTTGACGCAGTTATTTCCTGCTAGGTACCCTGCTGAAGGAGTTAAAGATACCACATTACAGTGATGCACACATGCCCATGTTAACAGCCGCACAACTTACAAAGGCCAAATCTTGGAAGAGGCCTATATATCCATTAACACATGAACGCATGAAGAAAATGCATTTATTTATACACGATAGAGCACTACTCTGCTATAAACAAGGATCAATTTGAGTCATCTGTAGAAAAATAAGATACACCTTGACATTCTTATGCTAATGAAATATATCAGATACATGGCATAAATACTTTTTCTTTTATGAAAAACCCGTAAGAGTAAAATAAAAGACAGATAATAGGAAGTAGGGAGACAGATTTTTCTCAAATGGCAAAGGGATCAAGAGAGGTAAGGAGAGGGGTAAGCTGGGAAGGAAAAGGGATAAAAATAATTGAGACGTATTATGTACCTGACCGACTCCACACAGTGAGTATAATCATTATATAATGCAAATGTACTAATTAAAAAGATTAAAAAATATTTGCTGGGTGGAAAAAGGGTTGGGCTATTTATTTCCATGATGGGAGGGCAGTAGAGGAGAGTAAATAAACCTGCAGAGAGTTCAAATGGTAACAATTAAAAACGATCTCTGTAAAGACTGTACAGTCTTGGGAACCAAGGCAGGCTCTACTATGGACGGGTAGCAACACGTGCATGCAGGGGTCCCAGGATCATTGAGAAATAAACTGCAGCCCCTGCTCTGAAGCTCTCTTCCCAGGGCTTGTGAGGCCCAAAGACATTCTGCAGAACACGGCTGTGCTGGACGTCACTGTGTGGACAGTGAGTGGAGTTACAGCTTTAGCGAGGTGTTTGGAGGGTAATGGAGTCCAGGGAAAATGAACTTCAGGACCACCTTCCAGGGTGGGGGAAGATGTGATGAAACACACTCCTCAGGTCCCCTGAGTACTTCTACTGAGGCATGGAGAAGTCAGTACACGACTTCTCCTTAACCCTTTGAGGAGGAACGTGACACAGTTCTGACTTTGTGTTAACTAAATGGGTTAGCAAGTCTACACCAAGGATGGAGAAGACCCACCCCGGGTGGCTCATCACCTGGAGGGACAAAAGGCAAGGAGGAAGGACGAATGCATCCCGCTCTTGGGAGAAGCTCCAGTCTCCCTTTGGGTTGGACCTGTCTCCTGGCTTCCAGCGTGGACTCTTCAGCCTGTCATCACCGAGCCTTCGGACTTCTGTCGCAGACCCATCAGCCTGCTGGTGTGCACTTGCACAAAACACTAGGGTGAACTCCAGACCTTGGATTGAATGCTTCGGCCTCCAGTGTGCAGCCACCCTCCGCACACTTCCTCATCGGACTCTGTGGCTGACCATCGTAAGCCAATCTTATTGTTTCTTTTACATCTGTACATCTCGTGTTATATCTTTCTCTCTAGTAAAACGCTGACTCATACAGAGAGCCTGAGGATTTTGTTTTTTAATAAGCCAAAGCCTAACCAGTAATCAGCCTGTTTCTTTTGTCCTTTTCCTTCTGTTGTCAGACTGTCAGACAAGGAGGCCTATGATTCCAGGAGCCACTGTGTGACCGTGACCTGCGCAGGAGAAAGGCCACATGCTGAGGACCACACAGGGGAAATGGCCCACAGCCCTGACGCTCTCGCAGGGAAGCTATTTACTTCTGGACTTCCTATACCTAGATTTCCTGGTGCGCAAGGGAGACAAAGCCTCACCTGGCCACTGTTACTTAGTTTTATGTTATCTATATTCAACTCAATTCCAAGTGACTGAATTTTTTTGTTTTTGGTCAGAGCGCAGGGGAAGTAAATGACTTCCATGAATTTCTGGGTACCAGAAGGAAGGTGGCATCAACACACTGTACGCAGTATCCAGGGCTTCCCCTAAGAAGGTAGGGGAGGAGCTGATGGAAGAAGAGTTTCCCAGGGACAGTTCCTCGCCGTACATCCTCTGAATATCCATGAAGATTTGGGGATGGAGGGTTGAGCCAGCGAGGGTTGCATGCTAGCAACATTTGGGTTGAGAATATACTGTGACACCAGGAGGACCAGGCGGCGTGAGCAGCTCACTGGAGCAGCGATCTGCGCAGAGCTGCTGGCAGAGGAGGATGGCCCGGCAGGCAGCAAGAAGCAGAAGGCTCTGTCAGGAGTGCGCAGGCCTGCATCCGCCCAGGCACCCAGAGGAGCATCCACCAAGCAGAAATCCTTTAGTAGCTCTTGTTTTGTTTTTTTAAAGTTGTTTTCCACCTTTCCTAATGGTGCCAAATGTGGCTTTTAGCAATGCAGAAACTGGATCTAAAAATGAAACTGTCTCATTCTAGAATTTATGTCAAATTTGAGGAAGAATGTTTATTATTCATAAAGTGTACTGTCTGTTTCCCTGCGCCAAGGGTCTGGCTATTACACTGTCCATTTCATCTGGAAACAGGTAACCCTACCTAGGTGACACCCCATTTACCAAAGTGAAAAACAACTCAGTGCTGTAGAACTAAAAAACGCAAGAGATTTTAATATATAAGTAAAAATTCTTTAGAAAAAAATAAGATACACGCAGGACCTTTCAATTCTAAACCAAACAGTGACACCCTAAGTCCCATTTCTAATCCCCTTGGGTCCTACCTAATACTGACCGTAAAACTTTTTCCCTTTATTCTTAAACTTTAGGCTAAACTTTGATCATTAAAAGCTGCAATTGGATTTTCCAAACCGATTTCTATAAGCTTCTCATATAAAGGGGAGAATGGGTAATCGGGAATCTGACTTCTTCCCCCAGAAAGTTATTCTGGGGCTGAGTTATAAATAATCCAAGAGGAATTTGTGAGTCCTGATTGAAGCATATATTGTCAGCTCATTAAATGGTTCAGTTCATTTTATACCATGTGGATGTATAAAAGTTATTTCCATGTTTATTAAGGAAAGACTATGAGAGTTTCTTTTACAAGAATATATTCAATGTAATGTGGGCCGCCAGGAATTCCCTGCGTCTCTGGGCTGTGTTTTTGTAGTCAGGTAACAGAAAGGAAAAAAAAAAAAAAAAAAACAAACCATCAGTTTAGCCTAACAAAAATACCTCAGAATATTTTAAAAAGTTAATTACTTGACCTGTGATATTTCTGAGCTAAAATATTTTTTCTTTTAGCTGTTATCAGAAAATCCAAGTTAACTGTCTCAATGCCAAGTCTATTTCTCATGAAATGGAAGAACATCTACTCTAAAGAAAATATATAGTAGCAAACCTTCTACAATTAAAATTAAGGGGAAAATCCATGCATGTTCTTTAAAAATAATACTTAAAACAATCTAATCATGCCAATGATACTAATGAACACTGCAGAATGTTTATGGCCCATGCTAACTGAGTCAGGGCTCCCCCTCTCTGCATGTCAGGTGGAAAGGTATTTCAGCCCTCACATGGAGAACACTAGTGCCACAGAACACTAGCCTATGGGTAGGGATGCGCCGTCCCAGTCAAAGGGTAGCAACATTTGAAATACTTGAATGTTTTGATTCTTTGAATTTTTCAGAGCTTACAACAACAGAAAATATGTGTATAAACTAAAGGATACGGAGAAACAGTGTCTATCCAGATAGGGCAGGATTTATTATCCACCACTTGGACTCGGGAACTTCCTCCATTTGTTTCCGTAAGATTTCTACCGAAGCACAGACATTACATAATGTGCAAACCCCGCAAGGCCTCCTGCGAGTCAAGCTGGCAAGTTAAAGGTCATCGTTCGGAAAAGCCCACTAAGCACGGTAAGGCTGGGTCTCCCGAGACAGCAAGGACCTTCTTCTGTTTGTTGTAAGCAAGATTATCAGGAGTCACCTGAAGGACGGCCAGGGTGCAGGGTGGAGGCTACTTCTGTGACAGCTGCCACAAAAGAAGACTGGGTGGCACGGCAGATCCAGAGGGGACAGGTGGGAAAAGCCGGCTAAGAGGCCTGAGATGCGTGGTCAAGGGTTGGCCTGTAGTTACTCCAGGAGACTAAGTCCAAGCAGAGAATAAACCAAGAACACAGAGAGGAAGACAGGACCTTCTCTCCCTTTACACATAGCTGGACAGACTGGGCAGCTCACTGGAAAAGCACAGAGATACTGAAGCAAACGTTCCGTGGGACACCAGACAGCTGGAAATACAGGCAAGGGACTAGAAGACCAGGAGAAAAGGTCGTCAGAAACAAAAGGGCTGTGTTTCAAGTCTGCAGGCTGGCTTCTGGAATAGACATGAGGAATGGTCAGTCTGGCTTACAGTCTATTTTGCACCTGATATAACTCTCCACATACTTCTCTGTATTCTTTTCATCTTACGTGTGAATCTACAATTATCGTAATGTAAAAGTTTAGTTAAAAACAGAAGGCATTCTTCAGCTAGGGATTCATTTGCTTCCTGAAGGTAGAGGTTTCCTCCAGTAACCGCATGACTGGAAGGCTCTGGGTGCCTGGGTCAGGAAGCCACAGACACGGTGAGCTGTGTAGGCTGCACGCGCTTGGAGCTGTGGGAAGATGCAGTCGGAAGTCACAGCTGTAACTAAAGGGAGGATTCTTTCCCTACAATGACAGAGTGCACAGCTACCCGTGGGACCTTCTCCGAAACAGACCACAGACGAGCTCACAGAACATGCTTATGTAAATGCAAAGGAACTGAAGTTATCTTATGTATATTATCAGATTATAGTGCAATGAAATTGGAAATCAATGGCAAAAACTGCATGGACACATGGATATTAAATAACACCCTCTCAAAGAATGAATGAGTCACAAATGAAATTAAAGAAGAAATTAGACAGTTTCTACAATTAAACAATAATGCTAATATAACACACTGGAACCTATGGGATGCAGGAAAGCAGTCCTGCGAAGGAAATTTACAGCAGTGAATTCCCACATCAGAAAAACAGAGTGAGCTCAAGTAAACAACTTAATGTTGAGCCTCAAAGCTTCTAGAAAAAGAAGAGCAAGTCAAGCCAAAACTTGTAATAAGGAGGAAGTAACTAAGATTTGAGCAGAAATTAATGCAATTAAGATCCCAAAATGATATAAAGAATCAACCAATTGAAAAGCTGGTTCTTTGAAAGAGTAAATAAAATAGACAAATCCTTAGCCAACCTTAGACTTAAATCCATACAATGAGGAAAGAAAAGGGTGAAATAACAATAGATCCTGCAGAAATAAAGATCATCGACACCTACTTCAAGAACCTATACTCTAATAAGATGAGAAACACAGAACAAATGGGCAGATTCCTGGATACATACGAATTACCAAAGCTGAATCAAGAAGATATAAAAATCCTACATAACCCAGTATCAATGAAATTGAAGAAGTAATTAAGAAATACCAACAAAGAAATGCCCAGGTCCTGACAGATTCACTAATGAATTCCACAAGAAATTTAGAGAAGATCTAATACCACTACTCATCCAACTCTTCAGTGAAATTGAAAGGCAAACAATACTCCCTAATTCTTTCCTAGAAGCAAGTGTTAACCTGATACCAAAACCAGAGAAGAATCCAACCCAAAAAGTGAACTATAGGCTATTCCTCCTAAGGAACAAAGACATAAAAATTCTCAAAAAGATACTGGAAAATAGAATGCAGCAAATCATCAAGATTATACACCATGACCAAGTAAGATTCATCCAGGCATGAAAGGATGGTTCAACATATGCACATCAACAGATATAATATACCACATTAACAGAATCAAGGATAGAAACCACACGATCACCTCAATAGATATAGAAAAAGCATCTGAAAAAGTACAATACCAATTCATGATAACATCTCTAAAGAAAATTAGAATAGAAGGTTGTTATTTCAATTTGATAAAAGTCATCTATCAAAAACCAACAGTCAACATCATATTAAGTGGTCAAAAATGCAAACCTTTCACTCTCCTACCAGGAATGAGACAAGGACACCCACCATCACTATCCTATTCCATATAGCTTTGGAAGCATTAGCTAGAACAATTAGACAAGAGAACAAAATGGAATAAGGATAGGAAAGAAGATGTTAAACTGTCATTATTGGTGGGAAAATTCCACCACAGAATCCTAGAATTAATAACCACATTGAGTCGTATAGCTGGGTACAAAGTCGACACTCCAAGATCAGCAGCATGCCTGTACACAAACAACAACTCACCTTTCACAATAGCATCAAAAAGTGAAACACTGAAAAATCCAGCATTCTGAAAAAGCAGAGATACTGAAGAGGAGATTAGAAAATGGAAAGATTTTGCTCTTTTGTAGGAAGAACCAACACAGTGAAAGTGCTCATACTTCCAAAACTGTTATACAGATTTAACGCAACCGCAGTCAGAATACCAATAGCAAACCTCACAGAATAGAGACACCATTCCTAAAATCCATTCGGAAGCAGAAGAGACCTACAAGAGCAAAGCAATTCTCGGCCACAAAGGCAAGCAAGGGGCATCACAATCCCTGACTTGAAATTATACTAAGCTGCCATGATAAAAACAGCATGGTACTGGCAAAAAATAAGACCCAAAGATCAAGGTGCAAATTACAAGATGCAGAAATAACTCCACACACACTCAGCCACCCCTTCTTCTACAAAGTGGCCAATGTGTTCACTGGAAGAAAGCCTCTTTAATAAATGGTGTTGGGAAAACTGATTTCTACATGCTGACTATTAAACCT